AACATTTATGTGGAACACCTTTGTGGCTGATCTGTCATTTTATGGTTCAATAAATTTGTTGAATATATGTTGCGCGTTAACTGTTAAATGGCATGATAAATGTAAAATCTACCAAAGGACTTAGTTTCAAGTACAATCCATCTTCTTCCTGGATTTGACCTTAATTTTTACCTCAAGACCCATTTTCCCAAATTCAGTCTTCAAACAATATCCTACCGAAATAGGTGTTTTTAAAGAATTGTCTTTACAGTACCTTCCTTTTTCATCCCCTTTTTCTCCTCTGACTGACCCTTTTACACTTCTGGACTACAGTAACTAGGACTATCCTGGGCTGGCTGTCAGAATGAGTGAGCAAGACTAGCCTTATAGGCCTCTGACAGGACCTAGAGCCTAACAAAGCCTCATGGCTAAGGACAGACACTCAAAAAGCCAGAGCCTGAATTGGTTCAATCCTTGCAGGTCAGTCTAACCTGCCTAGTTTGAACCAGTTTGCAAGTAAAGAGACATTCATGAAATGCAGATACATGCCTGCAGTGGCTGAGGTCAGGACCTGGGGAGCACTAGAGCAGCTCTCGGCTGCAGGGATGTGCTGGGGGGGAGCGTGGCCAGCCCCAGCAGTAGCTTAGAGTGAACTGGCCAGGGAGGGGATTAAATTCTCCCCTCCCTGTCCCGCCAGCAGGACCTGAGCCAGGGTCCACCGGGCACTCCCCCCTCGCTTCTGCAGTGGTTGGGCAGGGCGGCCAAACGCCGGCCAGCAGGACCCATTAGACAGAGGGGGCAGGGAGAAAGGTTATTCCCCCCTCTATCCCCACTGCCCCTGGAGGACCACAGCTAGGGTCTGCCTGCCCTGACCCCCACTTGCTCCCTCTGTGGGGGGCAAGTGGCAGGATAAGCCCCCTCCTGCCCCCTTTGCCAGATGCCAGATGGGGGGTGGAAATAACGCCTCTCCCTGCCCCCCGCCTAGGGGGCTGTGCTGGCTGGCCTCCAAACCTGCTGCTGGAGCAACGGGTCAGGGCCTTGATGGGGCAGCATCCCTTGTCCTGGTATCTGGGGAGCACAAGCCTCTTCCTGGTGGGAGGGCCGCAAGTGGGGGTCAGAGCTACTGCGGACTGCGTGGGGCAGGCAGCTGCACTGGGGCTCAGATGGGGCCATCACCCCCCTAGTGCTGCCGCTGCTTGCCTCACACAATCTGCAGCAGCTCTCCCTGCCCCATAGCGCAGCCCCCCTGCTGGGAAGAAGCTCATGCTCTAGGACACCGTGATGGGGTGCTTGCTGCTTGTCACACACAGGAAGCAAGCAGCAGCCGGGGCAGGCAGACCCCACCGCTGCAGTGGCAAGGGAGGAATGCCAGGAGGATCCTGGCTCTGGTCTGTGCCAATGGGACAGGTAAGGGGAATTAAATCCCTTCCTTGCCAGTTCACTCTAAGCTACTGCTGGGGCTGGGCACGCCCCCACTGCTGGAGCAGCCAAGGGAGATGCAGGTCAGTACTGGTTTAAACTTAAACTAGGAATGGGGCTGGGACACAAGATGCATAAACCATTTTGAGCTCAGATCAGTTGAGTCCAATACTACATTCAACCAAGTTTATCTCAAATTGGTTTTGGCCATTTTGCAACTGCTTTATGTGCACTGAACTTCTGTTCTGTTACAGGTTTAAACCAGTTTCTGATCACTTAAACCGGTTTGTGTGCAATGTCTGTCCTGAGCCCAAGAGAACTGATTTAAACTATTCCTTTATAGTCCGGAAATAATTCACTGTACTCAAGCTTTAACTGCAAGTACCATATTACTGCTTGTTTTAATTTTATACAAGCAATTTTGTAAGAAACACTGTAAGGATTTTAAGGTTTTTAAGACCCAGCTAGACAAAGCCTTGGCTGGGATGAGCTAGTTGGGAACAGTCCTGCTTTGAGCAGGGGATTGGACTAGATGACTTCCTCAGGTCCCTTCCAACCCTAATTTTCTATGATTCTGTGGAACCATTTTAAATAGATTTGTCTGCTAAAAAGTAACTTCTGTAATTAGAAAAGCACTTTACACATTTTCACTCTATTATTAATATTCTGGCTTGGGTAGATACTGGCCTTCCATTAAATAGCTACCCAGTTATTTTCCATTTGCATTCTTCTTTATAACCTATAGCTTGGGCACTATTAGAAGGGACAAGTTTAATTTAATTTTTAATGCACATTCAAGTCTGAAGACAAATCCTACCAGCTTTATATACACAGCCACGCCAAACTGAGAAGCAGAAACCCCTTACCTTGGCTTCCTTGGAATTGCTAGAACTTTTCCCTTCTGTCTTTTTTTGTTTGGATGAGGAAGAGTTACTTTTACTGCTGCTGCTACTCTCCTTATTACTGTTGCTGCTTGATTTTAAGGAAGATGATTGACTGACTGTTCTTTTCCGGGACCCATGTTCTTGCTTGGGATCTTTCTGAGGGACTGGGGCTGCAGGAGAAGGTAGCAGATCCTTCTCTTTAACTGCACCTTGCTTTGAAGACCTGTACAAAATAAAAAGGTCAAATTTTGTTTCCTAGAACAGTTAGAGTTGCTTCAACTTAGTCTGCAGAAAGGGATAATTATTCTTCATTTCTTAACTCTAATGACTGGCTTTTGGCAAACCAGACTGAGCTTGTTTTTTACCATTTGATTCTTGTTCTGACTTGAAAAGGAAGTAGACGGGTTCCAGCTAGAAAGCCACATCCCTATAATACTACTCACAAGAACAAACATTTATGACCTGAGAGGCTAACTGATAGCGCCAGCCTGTCTACTGAAGCAAAGTAAGACTTTGCTCAGAGCTCCCAGACTAAGAAAACAAAGTGTGCACTATGTGCTCCACAAAAAGGGAAAGCTACCTCAGTTCATCCCTCCAGGATTCCCACTTCCACCTTAACCTCTGAAGGGCTATCACTGTCACCACCACAGCAAAGATCCTACTTCCTAATTTACTTTTCACTTGGGGAAAGCAAGGCAATTGGGACAACTATTTACATAGCAATAGATTCTTTGATATATATCTAGAATTAACATACACATTTTATGCTAATCTTAAACATATTCAGTCCTGTACCATCAAAATCAACACCACCAAGAATAAGTATACTCCTAACAAAAATTGAAAAAACTACATGTCAATCACAGAGTCACTCTGAAAATCTCCAAATAATCAACAACAATTAAATTAACTTTTGGATTATGCTCTGGTAATTCAGAGTGGTTAGACAGGTATCACAGAGTCTCAAGGGTAAGACAGAGTTGACTTGCTGCAATTTCTTGGATATAATTATTGAAAAAAATGTTTCCTGCGCTTAAGTGCAAAGGACCATGTTCCTCTGTATAGTTATGTTAGTTTTCAATGTGTAATGTGAAACAGAACACATATTTAAGAGAAGCTATAAAGAAAATCCACAAATTACCAAATTGTCACTCACTAGCTAAAAAAAAGTGCAAGAAAACCTCACTAATTTGCACCAATGACCTAGCCTCATTGCAAAGCTGTAAGGATGTGAATATAATTACAAAGCTCACATTTTGCCAGTTCCACATTAGCTTTAATTTCCAGTCATCCCAATATGAACTCTGTATTTTTTTTTAAATCAAGAGACCATCAATTGGCCTTCTTTGCAAGTTAAGCCATTTATTCTCAGTTATGATATCTTTTCACTCCAAAAAATGGTGCCCATCTTGCAAACACCAGGTTAATTTTTGAGTATTGTTTAGCAAACTGAAGATTTACAAGGCCATACTTAAGTTAGTACTGATCTAATTTTCTTTCTACCAAAAAATCCCTGGCCTTTATTAAGGTTAATATTGAAGAATAAACTTTCCCAGAACTATTAACCCTTGACAAAAAATAAACTATTTTGTACTGAAGGAGTTAAATTGTTAAATAAACCAACCAACTGTCATCTGTTCAGAGTAAATAGCACTCCAATGTGTTTGGTTCTTGGAAGTACAAGGATCCTGATCAGCTACAGCTGAAAAAATTGCAGGTAAAAATGCAGAGTCTGAAAAATGAGTACGCATGAAATCTTGCCCAATGAGAAGCAAGCAGATTCCAATTTTTCATTTTGACGTGATGGCAAGCAGATACTCAAGGAAGAGATTTTCACACACACACACACACACACACACACACACACACACAGACATATGGGAGGTGGGTATTAAGCTTCTCCTCAGTACATACGAAAACTTTATATAGTAAGAACAGCCAGATAATCCCACAGATACTCACTCTCTGCTGCTGGAGGTCTTGTGGCCTGATGAAGCCTTTTCTTCCAGTTTAGTTTTCTTGCTTTCACTGGCTCTGTTGTCATCATCATTCTGAGTAACATTAGCAGAAATCTATTGGGACAGAGTTTCAAATTTACAGGTTACTTGCCCTTTGTAATGATTTCCATTATCAGAACAATTCAGCACACTGTGGCTACATCTACACAAGATGCTGACTGTGCAGTTGTGTCACGTTACACCTTCTGCTGTGATGCAACCACAAAGTCAGCATCTCGTGTAGTCGTGGCCTGTTTGCAATATATAGGATAGAACAATCTAGCTTACGCCACAAGGAGACAGACCAGCATGGGATCAATTGGCCCAAACGAAAGGCACAAGTGAGTAATGGTTGTAAAAAGAAGTAGAGCAAGAAATTAAATATGGCTGAATTTACCAAACTATTTAAGAGGAAAACTAAGATTACTCCACTTTAAAAAAAGAAACAAAGACCTAACACTTCATCACGCTGACATTAACTGACCCATCAGTGCCAGAGTTAGAGTCACTAAGAAAGGACTGTTTACTGTCTTCAGTAGGAGCCTGATCAGTCATCTTCTTCTGGTCTAGACACGGGAGCGAATCTTTACCACCACTTAAATCAAACACAGGGGTCACTAGAACTGGGCACTCTCTCTGCTTTGTGACTATACATCTCACCCCACTAGCAAGTCATCAAGAGACTGAGAATACAGACATTTTTCTAAATGAATGAAAAGATCACCTACCTTATGCTTCCTTTTGCCCTTGGTGGAATTTTTGTCAGAGGGTTGTTTCTGGGACTCTTTTGTCTGCTTCTCCGGCACACTTTTCTTCTCAACTTTGGGTGGATCAGCATCCTTGTAAGGCTTCCCTGGTATTCTAGATAAGAGGCTCAGGTCGATCTTCACAACAAGTGGGTACCTTTCATCAGGATCACTGAGCGGTGAAAGAAGTTCTTTCTCTTCCATAGGAGAGAATATTCTTGGCCGATAAAAGCCCTCATCCTCCTCCATGGAAGATTTAACTGGAGTCCTATTGCTCTCAGAGTATTTGGGGGTTTGTGAGGAAGGAGGCAGGCTCTCATTTTCATCAGAATCAGAGGATGAGGTATCTGTTTCTATGAATTCCCTGGATTTCTGGGATGGTTTGCTTGAAGGCTTGTATTTCTTTTTCTCTGCTGTAGGTCGAGGAGAAGATTTGGGTTCTTTCTTTATGTTGGGTTTTCTGGAACCTTTTGTGGCTGCCTTATGCCTGTTTGAGGGCATGTTTTTTGCCATGTCTACTGGTGTTTCACTTTCTATTTTAAGACCCCCTCTGGGCTCTTCTACAGCTGCCTTTTCTGCTTTCTTGGGCTGTTTTTTACCTACAGTTCTCCTCTGCGTCACGCTATCACTCTGTGCAGGTGACTTCAGCCTGCCGCGACTGCTCTCTGATCCTTTTTGAGTAGTTTTGGAATCTCTCCCAGGAGTGGAAGAAATGGAATCCTTGGGCCCACTTTGATCAGCATAACTGCTCCCTGTGCCCTGATCTCTCCCCTCTTTTTTGTAACCTTGTGAGGAGGGGATATTACTGTCCACAGAAGATGCTGGTGAAACTTTATGCGGATTCACTTTGTTCAGCCAGTTGTCGAGTTGCCACTTGTTTGTTGGTGGTGGTTCAGGCTAAAAAGGAGATAGGGAAGTATTAGACAGATTTTTCTCTTTTTCCCCCCCAAATAGCGATGCTGTATTGTATACCAAAGTAATGGTGACACAAAGCTGACTCTGCTACTGAACAAAGTACAATGCATGGAAGCAATTGTGTAAGCTACAGCTTCCTATCCCTTCACCTGAAGAGGATGAATATCAGAAACTTGACAACTGCCTACTGGCGGTGGTTGAAAGGAGGCACTATGCCTGTTGTTGACCCAAGTGCAGTGAAGCAAATTAATTTCTCTACTATTTTATGTCCCTTCCTCCCCTCACTCCACTGAGCAGACTACAGCATAACTTTATCGACTGAACTGAAGCTACAGTATGCCATGTTTCAAGCTACCTTTATCAATTCAAAACATTATTATGGAGGCATGCTTAACTCCTGGACTGAGTCATGTGGTAGGGAACACACTTCAAAAATAACCACAC